ACTCCAACAAAATTGTCGTTAATTTAAAATTCCAATAATTATGTTGATCAGCTTATTTATGAGATTAAATAAGCGCATACATTTCTGTAGTTAAAATTCTATTTTATTTTTTATACATTTTATACATTTTATAAAAGGCAAGTGCAATGTGCATTTAAAATTTAGATAAAAACATTAACCTGTTTTTTCATAGCTTGTACTAATTATGTGTATTTAGTGTCTTTCAATTTATGAAGTTTAAAAGTTAGACGAACGCATACGATAATCCATAAATTGTAATTTAAATTATAGATTCGTATTTTTATCGTATATACAATGTAATATACAATGACAATTAGAATTATGATCAAATAATTGGCCAATGTCTTCTGTATTATGTTCATAATATGTTTATAGATACCTGTGTTTTTCTTCGAAATAAGTTTTTTAAACATTTTCGTTGCTTGCGAATTCTGTTTTTTATTTATTTTAATGTTCTCAGACGTATATTTATATGGATTTACAAAAAATTTCTCTAATATTGGTCTCGTATTGAAAATATTTTAGATAGTATTTTACATAAGTAGTATAATACATTAAATAGTAAACATTTAAATTATCTATTTTATTTCCAATTTCATACAGAAATTAAATTATGTGAAATGTGTAATTCATTGTCGTTATTGTCACAATTAACTTACCCAATTAATTTAAATAGGTAGTTATACAAACAATTGTAATTATTTATTTTTATTTCTATAGTGATATTTAAAATCAGTAGAAGTAAGTACAATGAGAAATGTGTTCCTATGTATAAAAATGCTTAGGTATAACGACTATATTTTGTCGGAAGAAGTCACCAAACTATTATTTACGTAATTCGTAAAGGCCATCCGACTAGTTGCAGACAAGTACTAATGTACCGGAAATGCCTAATTGATAAATTTATTCCACAATAGTTACAATGGTTTAGACCTTAATCACGTATTTTAACTGCGACAAATAACAAATTATAAGCCGTACTAATTGAGCATACTATTATTATTGGTTGGTCGTTTAGTCTTTCGTACGTCGGCATCCGCATAGTAAATGCGGTTGTGAGTTGATAATATTTTTCATTTGTGTCTTTGATGAAATTACAATATACGACGCGTATAATATTGTAATATATTATTTATGTCTCGTGATTTCGATATGGGAACACCTCTCGCCGGCCACCGTTATCGGCCGATTTGCATTATTTGCAATATCATAATAAATATATTATCCTCGCCGATAAGGTGTGATCTAAGAAGATTACAAACAACATAATCACGTAATCGTATAATAATAATAATAATAATAATAATAATTAATATACCCAACAACAATTGATCGCGTATCTTCGTTGTCGTATCGTTCATTATTATCACTCTTCTATGTACACATATGTAATGTTGGTGTGCCCACTCGCGTTTTACGTGTTATTGTTATTTTCATTCGCAGCTCTTCTATTAGGTACACTATCGCTGCAATTTGTATAATATATCACTACTTTTTTGATGAGAACACGCACGCTCACAGCAATAAATTATATACAGAATTTCAAATCAATGTCCTATACAATCAGCACGATGGCTGCTATTGAAGTTATTACTGTTTCGACCACATGCAATTATACGCTGTACGGCGTGGGTAAAACAATTCTACTGTGTCACTTGTTTACCGTTCACGCAACGGTATATATTATTAATATTATTATTATGTTCGTCTGTTGTGTAATAATAATAGTGACTATTTAAAAAAAAAATTATATCTCGTTTTATAATTGTAGCACAATTCAACAGGCGTCCGATTAATTATTGTCGTGTGCGTAATATAATAAGCGAATAACGAGAGTTTGTATATGACATAATATGTATGTGTATACTGTATATGTATGTACGTTCGGTCAGTTGATGGTTTTCTAACGCACACAAAGTTTTCATTTTTTAATAAGAAACAATAAAGTTCACATATAATATTATATATAATCATATATGCATGACTGTAGTATAAAACAAATCGTACTCGCCGGAAAGTCGTCGTCAAAGTGTCGTATCGTAAACCTACTAATAATGTGTATTGTAAAGTGTGTGTTTTTTAGTCGCTCGTGATTGTGAACGTCGTAAGTAAATCTTATTGTAGCAGACTAGTCCGTGGACGAGTAATATCGTTTGCCAAGGGTGCCTTTAGAATTATTAGACTACTAGGCTAACTGTTGGCATTCCACATAACATTGGCTATAGGATTGTTTCGTTGGCACATATGTGTGAAGTCATTAAAGTCTATTTTAAATTTCTTTCGTGAAAATATTTTGTTTAGTAGGTATACAATTAATATTATAATGTAACAGAATGTCTGACGAAAATATTTTTAAACTAGAAGTTATGCAAAACAATTTACAGTTGATAAAATTAAAACTAGAATTTTTTTTTTTTTTTAATTATTAACTAAACTCTCGGCGACAATTGCCATTGGATGATATTTATACGATTTTAAATTACATATAACTTATATGTAACAATAGTTTAGTAGGTGACAATGTAAAAATTATAACTTGTTCCTCTAGAAGGTAAGTTTATATTATATCATGTTGGCTGTTGTCCTCTATTGAGAAGGTTGGCGGCGGCGGCGATGATGAAGTCGATTGCGAGGCGATGAACATATTTTATTATTTTTATATTATTTTGTATAATAGAAACCTAAACTCGGTTAATACAATTGTTATACCCGCATATAATATCAAATATGCATCACACATTCACACTAAGTTCACTACTATAGGTAGATAAATGGCGGCAAAGTGTATATTATTATTCTCTTCAAATGATTATCTTTAGGTTTTCAGTGGGAAAAGCCCGTTTTTCATCTCGTTTTCGACCTGTCAGTTGTTGTAATATTGCGTTTTTATCCTCCGAATATATCAAAGTCTTTACACAAAGCCGTCAGCTGTAATTTCGCATAAGAAATGTTTGCCTTACAACTCGGAACATATTTGTATCTGCGAATAACACGTCAATTATGACATCCGAACGTTTTCGGATCAACCGCACATCACTTGAATATTTTCGCAACTCTGACGGTTCGCATCAGTGCGCATTGTCACCCCATCAGGCGTGTGTGTCACATTCAAAACTATTACGCCTATAATAATAATAGGTTATACGATTGTAAGTGCAAAAGTGAGAACACTGATTTTTATTTTATTTTTTTGTGTAATATTATTCATTATAGTTCGCGTCTATACCTACTGCAGCAGACGATACAAGCAATAATTATTATTACAACGACTGAGCTGTGCAAGTATTATGATATGATATTGCGCCTGCTTTATCGCAGTAATATAATATAATAAGTAATATATGAAGCGTATAATTATACGTCTCGACAGATGTTTTTATATAGGTACGATTGCGAATAATTATTTTACCCACACTAGCTGTTTAATAGATATATATTTGGGTGTGTTCCATCGTTTGAGTATACTATATATATACCTAATAATAATAATAAGTGTACACCTATTATACCTATGTCGGGCTATATGTATGATGGCATATTATTTAAACCTACGCCCCACGAAAATCCTTTGAAATGACATTACAGTGGGCGTCGACGAACTGCAAAATATTAAACCGGAAATAATAATAATAATATTGGAGGGATTGCTGCTAACTGTGTTTGTCGGGTAGTTAGGTCCTAAGCAAACTTCGTAAGCAGCCGAACGCACAACGACCGTCGTTTAAGTGTTTTAATGCTACACACACACACACACACACACATATATATAATATATAGATTCGATTTAATTCCGTGTAGGTATATACTGTTTGGCAGTTCCTCTTGCAGCGGCGGCTTAGTTTTAACGGGATGGTGTAGGAAAGGGGGAGGGAGGAGGGGTATAACTTGCTTAGAAGTTTCAGTTTCCCCTCCGGAGTCTGGACATTGAATTATTTTTTTATCGTATTCTATTCCTCCCTCCACTTTCAACACCCTTATGGTTGCAGCTTTGCAGGAGACGAAAGTTAGTCTTAAGATGACCAGTTATGATTGCAGTGGCGTGCAGATTGCCGTGAACATGTGCACAAGTATATATTTACCATAATATATAGTTCTCTGTTTGGAACATATAAAATAGAAATAATATTATGGGATCGCAATATATAATTTTGATATATTAGCGAGATGTAAAACGTTTGGATGCTCAAAAACGAGGTTGACCGGGTTTTCCAGAAATACGTTATTCGCACTATACATACGTCATAGGTTTTGTCATCATCGCCTGTTGTCGTTATGATATCAAGATATCCTTAACCCGATAAATATTTTATGAATGTCTATTACGTCGAAAAAATATTCGTGCAACTATTTTTTTTACTATTATTATTATTTATTCGGCAATAAGTTTATCGCCCAAATATGTTACGCAATGTTTTTGTTGTGTTTTTTCTTGCATTCAACTCGGCAGCCCTATCTATGATGCAGCTGATGGAGTCATTTATCTGCATAAAATACGAATCTAGCGTCATTGAGATTATGTAAAACAATAGTTACTCTGTGAGTGTGTGCATCATATATAGGTTCCTATGTACTCAACTGACATAACCGCTTCGATATGTGCACATTATGTAATATGTAAAAAGTGCATATTTCGAGTTACCTAACCTAACAAACATATTATTAGGTATGCAAATATTATTATTTTGTCGTGTATGCGGTGCAAGTGTGTTACGGAATACAATATGATGGTAAATGCGTTAATATATTGTTAATATTAGTTATATATTATTAACATATGTACGTTTATAAATATATTTTTATCATTATTATTATTATTTTTTGTGCATCACCACTCCAACGGGGGAAATAAGATATAGATATAGTTGAACGCAAACGCAAGTCCTCCATATACTACAGATTTTCCTGTTTTTCGACATCTCAATTTGTTGTTATATTAAACTGTGTTGTACGTGTTCTAATATTACTTTGTTTCTTTGCAGACGACTCGCCCACAGATGACCGGTGCAGGAGACGGTCGCGAATGCTGTCTGAGGGAGAAGTGGTGCTACTCGAGTCGGTCGCCCATCACGGTAAACGGTTACCCAACGGCCGGTTTCTCACCATGCACAAACGTAGGCGGAAAAAGCTCACCACCCGATCCTTATCCAACGAGAATGCGCCGGCGCTATTGGACGACATTCACCATGGCCAAGTCCAGGTTAGCATGTTAATCGAGTATTAATAATAGTTATGCAACAATATTATTAAATCGATTTGATTATTCTCATTTCAACAGCGTGTAATGAATTTATTTTTCTAACGAGTTATTTATGACAACGATTTGCATGTTACAAGTATATTAACATGTCTTTGTTGTAAGTTTTAAAGATATGTTTACGATCGATTATTTTGTAGGTATATATTATATAAATCATACCACCTAGGTAATATACATTTTATAGAGACTTTGAATAAGCGTCTACTTCGGCACTAGGTATATATATATATATTTAAATCCACTTTAATTAATTAGGGTATATTATTATGTTATGCTATACAGGAATAACACCTAAGTCTTTAGATGAAGATAGCTTATAGCTTATAGCTAAGAATAGCTGATCGGCTTATAGTTATTTAATGTCGTGTATCTATATACAATTTAAATTAATTAAATAATTAACAATATTGTATACCTAAACCAGTGAAATTTTAAATTTAAATTTAACAATATCATTTTTAGAGTTTTGTTAGAAAATATTACGTGTACAAATAATAATCATATTTTGGGTCCAATCAGGAATCATATATACATATTTAGTTAACGGGCGGTTTTGATTGATTATCACGAATATAAATGTAAAAAATTAAATTAAATTAAATTCATTTTCAATTCAAAGAACTTATATTTGTTTAATTAAGGTTGCTTACGTGGATACAAATTAACATGTGGGTACTCGTCATAACTATTGACTATTCTACGCCACCTAAACATTGAGCTTAGTTTAAAAAACGGACAACTTACTAATATGTTTAATACAATTAACATGGATAACATAATATTATAATCATTGTACAAATATAATGTGTGCGTGTACTATACATATTATATATCGTAATTGTTGTTCCAAATTTTTAATCCTACGCACCTTATTATTTATTTACTATAAAATATGTATTACAATATATTTTTAAACTCTTTTAATATTCACATGAATGTGTGTTGTCGTATTTGCATTGATTTATTTCGTTTAATAAAAAAAAATATATATAGAAATAAGAAGTACAAGGATAATAATAATATGCTTATTTCACATCTGAGTGTAATAAAAACATGTGAATATTTAATTAGCTAACAAAATGTATGTCAACGTTATACGTTCTATTCAAAATTTAACCATTTCCATGAAACTGTACGGACGATGAAAGTGTAGTATAAATAGATAAATATTACTATAATAATACAAATATATGGAATAAATTATATACCATTCGGTTTATCATACGAGTTAATGCACCGTCTATAATATTATACTGTTTACCTGTTTAATTTTTTTTAATGTTTTGAATAATATAATTAGTAGTAAAATTGTGTAGCTTATAATATTCATAATGTGGTTGCTAGATAGTTTTGAATAATTTAGTATCATTATAATATTGTGACGTCAGGCGTATAAGTGATCTATAATATAACAGACTAATCGACCTAGTAACGCCGTTACTGTTTTATTGACGTCAACATTATATATTATGATTTTATTTAAATACTAGATAAATATAAAATTGTTTTCAAATATCCAATTATAACATAATTTTTTTAAGTATCGGATTATTACACAATACACACTCAATATTACAATTATGAGTAAGAATTTAAAAAAAAAAATCTATTAATTTAAACATCCAGACAGGTATAATATCAAAGTAGGCTTAAAAGATTTTTAAACGTATCATTAAAATTCAAAGTTTAAATTATGGTGTATAAGTCCTGTGATTTGTGTAATATTTCATTAATTGTATGCAAAAATAAATGTTTTTTGTTTAAAAATAAAAACTTCAGTTAAAAATTGTTAGGAAAAATATAATTACTAAAAAAAAAATACTAAAGAAAAAAACCTTAAATTTATAAATTTTTAATGTTACATTTATTTTATTTTACTGTTAAGATTCTATATAATTAATTATAATATTGTTGGTATTTTATTATGTTGCTGCATATTAATATATTATACATAATGAACACATGCACATCAAGTAAAAATGTTTTATTGCTGTATTAATAGGTACCGCATGCAATAACATTCATCTAACATAATTTATACTAAATACCGTTTACCTATGGATTACTGGAGATCAATAGTTTTAATAACTTCCCCGGGTTTCGTTTATATAGGTCATACGACAATATAAGTTATTGGGAACGCCCAAAGGAGTTCACGTGATTTCCTGTCAATTTCGTACGGATCAAAGGAATTTGTTCGCCCTTTGATGTTCGTGGTATAATCCAATATTACTTCGATTCAAAGCCCCAACTGTCTTTTCCTGTCCCACTGTATGAGATTATGGTGCCTTTTGAGGACGAAACCGCCCTGAAGGCTTGTTTACCGACGATTTGATTTTGGAGCACTAAATATAATATGTATTTTAGCGACCGCTATAATAGAATTTCCCTTAAAATAATATATATATAGCCATCTATATATTTTTGTCTTAGTATTTATGTAAGCTGTGCACACAATCCGTTTCACTAAAAACATATTTTATTTTTTAAATATTTATTTAACTGATGCGATTATCAGTAGTAAAGCTTAAACACTAATCTATAATAGTTAACAGAAAAACAAAATCTTTAATTTACCAAGTAATACAATAATTACTTAGGTAAATTACGAACTAAATAAAGTGAAATATTCATTACCTGAACAGTGAACGTATTATATAATCAGTTGGATGGTTTCTTGCATAGTTTGTATTACGAATAATAGGAACGAAAAAATAGTAACGTCTTGTGAAACAAAAAGATAGATTTGTGATATTTATAAGATTAGTGGAAAATGTTGCAATTATTGTTGAACACAATTCAAAACACAAAAATGTATCATCAGTGTATATCTGCAGTGCGTTAGTTGAAGAATCTACATCAAAGTACGTTACTTTATTTAACTAATTTAACCATGTCAAGAGGCAAATTCTTAATTTATTTATCAATATGGCATCCATGTTATTCAAAAACAAAATATTTATGAGGACGTCACACCCGCATGTGTTGTTTCTGTCCTACAAGCGCGTAATTTACCAAATTTTACGCTTAGCAGTCAATTTAATTCCATTAGTTTAAAATTTAGAGTGAATTGACCTCATAAAAATTAAAAGTACCTCGTAGGTTTTTTATTATATTTTAATTTTAAAGCGATAGTTAGAGTAGAGATGAGAAGTAATAGGATTTGCATATTTTTTTCTATATCTCCTATTTATAGCTAGGTGAGCTAAAAATCTGTTCTATTACCTAATGAATTGAAATTTGATGTTTAAATTTTGCATATTTTTGCATATATTGGTAGTTTTCTTAAAAGTTGTATATTCATGTTTTTTTGTGCATAAAAATGAATATTTAGTAAAATTATTTATGATTTAATTGAATTTTATATGTTTGTAGTCAATAACCAATATAACATTTAATAGTATATAAAAGTAAATTTAGGATTAGTATCATTTATTGGATAAATCACATCTATGGGCGAATTGCCAGAAGACTTAACTTCAGTTGATGTAGAAAGAAGTTTTTCGCGATACAAAAATATTCTTTCGGATAATCGTCGGAGATTGGATGTCGAAAATATTTTTAAAAAACATTGGTGGCTCAATACAACAAATTTACAGGTTAGGTTAGGTTAAAAATTGTATTTTTAATTTTTTAGATTAAATCACCTGACTATAATCAATACACCTACCAATCATTTATTATCTCATATTTATAACTAGTATTAATTTTTTATCACACAGTTAAAAATTATTTATATTTTAATAGAATCAAATTTAATGAAATATTATTTAAATTAATTTATTGTAAACTTGTTTTTTTATTTATAGAAAAAATTGCATATATATATTTTTTGCATATTTTCAAATTTTGATGCATATATCATAATTTTTCCTTGCATATTTTGTCTATTTTAGCTCCTATAAGTTCTCATCCCTAGTTATGAGTATTTTTAAAATTGTAAATTGTTTGTATATCTTAAAATACTCACAATTCGCTTTAAAATTAAAATATAATAAAAAGCCTATGTGATAACCTAGATAATTATATTACCTATATTTTTATAAGAGGTCAGTTCACTCTAAATTTTAAGCTGGCGGAGCTAAATTGAAACTGCTTATCGTAAAATTTGCCATGTTACGCACTTGTAAAACAGAGACACACAGCGGGTGTGGTGTCCTCTTAAGTACACTTTAATTCCATTTAAACAATGGTGATTCGGGATCATAATCAAACATTGCAATTTGGTTAAAGTTTCTTGAGAAGGTCCTGCAATGTTCGTTGATCAGATGATAAATTGGACATGATGCGTTATGTTCTGCAATATCACCACACATATTATATGTATTTGTTATAGAATCGTTTTGAAAAAAAAACACATTTCGTATTATGTATGGAAAAAATTATATTCAATATAATATTTTATACCGTCGAGAGGTTTTCTATAACAGATACTGTGTAAGGGAAACGGTGAGACGTTTTCTACAACCCGTGGTGCTTTTTTCAATGTACCGCTATTCCTACACAATTTTACATGATTTAGCAACCAATAGACGATGATAATATCTAATTTGGTCGGTTTATTCGAACTCAACGTGATTGCCATTTATGCGACGCATTTTGTTATATAGTTTGACATAATAATTTGGATGAATGTTCTCGAAACGAGGTATACATGACGTTGTTTATCGCAATCATTTTGCAGTGTGCTCCTTCGCCCGTCACTGACGGCTCGTGCTTGATCGTCTCTTTTTCCCATCCGCCAACAGCACAGCATATTTTATTCTATAACAGTTGTATAATAATATATTAATTAACATTCATTTGAAAACATTTCGTAGATAATTCAAAATATCTATAATTAACTGTTGTCTTAAACAACCCCGGTCGTTTTTGATTAATCATGTAATTAATTATAACCACATGCCCATATTACAGGGTGCAGTGCGGGTTGGCTGCCG